AATTAAACCAGTTTATATATATATATATATTGTATATAAAATTTATAATTTTCATGAGACTGTGGGTGATTTTTCTTCTGTTTTGTAAATTTTATGTGATGTTAATGCAACTTTGTTTTGAGTCATGATTAACTCATTCTCATAACTTACTCTGAAACTCTCTGGTGACATCAAAAGACTTGTTACTGGACCAGCTTCCAAACAGAATTTATGCAAAATTTGTTCAGTAAAGATATTCCACAAGATGACAGATGAGTCCTGGTCCCCAGACACCATCCAACTGTGGTCTAATTTTGATGAGAGGCCATGTGGATACAGTAATGAAGTAACACTCTGGTGGTGGCCTTTAAGAACCTTGAAAGAGAGTGAATCTGTAAGGCAAGAAAGACAAAGTAATAATGATAATTTGAGGACCCATTCTTTTTCTTCCAGAAATAGCTTTGAAACTTTCTTCTATCACATTTCCTTGTAAAAAAAAAAAATCATACCACTAAAGCTATACACTTGATTAAGAAAATTAATGAATAACTCTTGAATCATTGCAAAAGCCAAATGCTTGCTTAATCATAAATAGAGCAAAATGTTTAGGACGTTCTAAAGCTGGTCTTTCAAAATCTATTCATTCTTTTTTTTTTAAGAAAAAACACCACAAAACTAGTTTACTTAAAAAGTTCGTACATATTGTTTTACACATGAGATCTTTCCCCTTTCCTTTACTTACTTCTCCCTCTACCCATCAAATAGTGTGACCCTATAGTTAAGAAAAAAATATATATTCTTTAAGAGCATTATTAAGTTACCTATTCCAGTGACAACAGGAAACATGATTACAAAAGAATAAACAATTCATGTATTTTGCACCATGAATATATGTTGTTGCTGTTGTTATGTGCCGCTGAGTCACTTGCGACAAATATTGCAACTAGCCATTAAACTGTCATGACCAAGTCCAGTATACACCCAAAGCAAAGGTTTATACTACTTTGGAAGTTGCTAAAATTTATCTGGTTCTAACCCTTGGTTTTATAGATAGGTATCAGAGAGGTTAAGTAGCCTGCACCCAACTGTGAAAAGTACAGCATAAGCTTTGCTATTAAAGGAAAGGTCCCTGTTTTTGTGGGTTTATTACTAAAGAAGCACTAGGGAATAGGCTATAGGGAGCTGCACAGCTACCGCAAAGACCAAGTCTCTCTGCAGTTCAGATCTGTCAGAGACTCTGACAAAGAAAGAAATCTAATCTCTTCCTGTGCAATTTACAATCTTAGAATTCCAGAGTCTGGGTCCAATCAGACTTGAAGACAATTGAGAATTTTTGAAAAAGGCACTCTAGTGACATGCTGTTGTTGTTGTTAGGTCCTTTCTAGTTAATTGCAACTCATAGTAACCCTATGAACAGCCAACCTGAAACCTGTCCTATCCTGTGTCATCCTCATCATCTCTGAGACCCTACAACCCATTACTGAAGTCACAGTGCCAATCCATCTTATTTAGAGTCATCCTTTCCTTCATTGACCCTCCATCTTTCCAACCATGATGTCCCCTTCCAAGGAATAGCCTTGCTTAGCCACATATCCAAAGTATGAAAGATGAAGCCAATCTTGTCTCCAGGGAGCATTCTACCTGTACCTTTTCAAGGACATATTTGTTTGTTCTTTTGGCAATTTATGGGATATTCAGTACTCCTCTCCAGCATCACACCACAAAGGCATCAATTATTCTTCTGCCATATTCTTATTCATTGTCCACATCTCTGACGTGCCACCGTGACTGAGAAGACCATGGCCTGAATCAGTTGCACTATAGTCTTCAAACAGATATCATTGTTCTTTAGTATTATAGAGGTCCCTGACAGCAGACTTGCCCAATGCAATATATCTCCTGATTTTCTGACTGCTGATACCAAGAGTGTTGATTGCTAAGCCAAGGAGATGAAATCACTGACAGCATCAATCTTTTCTCCATCTATCACAATGTTGACTGTTGGCCCTGTGGTGAGGATTTTTGTCTTCTTGATGTTAAGATATAATCCATACTGAAGTTTGTAATCCTTGATCTTCTGTGGCAGGCAGTCCACATCCTTTTCACTGTCAGTAGCAAAGCTGTGTCACCTGTTGGCATTGTATATAATAATCAGACTGCTAGCCAAAAGGCAAGTGGTTTGAATCCACCTGCTGCTCTGGATCCACCAACTGCTTCAAAGGAGAAAGACGGACATTTAGCTCCCATAGAGATTTATAGCCTCAGAAGCTCAATCGTTGTAGGTGTTGTTAGGTGCAAGCAAGTCAACTATGACGCATAGAAATCCTGTGAACAATAGATCTGAGACTTACCCTATCCTGTGTCATGTTCACCATTTCTAATATGTTTGAGGTCATTTTAACATTCACTTTATCAATTCATTTTGTTGAGGAACTTCTCTTTCTTTGACTATCTGCCTTTTCTAGAATGATGTCTTTTTTTCAAGAAATGGTGACTCCTGACATGTTTCCAAAGTATATGACACTTGTTTGTTCTTTTGGAAGCCCCTTTAAAATAAATTTCATGGCAATGGGTTTAGGGTTTAAATTTGTTTATTTTGGGCTTTTGGTTTTGGTCATTTTCTGTTTGTTTTTCCAATTTCCAAGTGTGCCAATACAAAGCAATTGTTTTATTTATCTAAACCATGTTGAGAAAATAATGTGTCAGGATAAAAATAGAACTTCACACAAGATGCCACAAGAAATAAATAAGATGATGCCCATAGTGTTCTTCTTCGTTAGCACTTTGTCAGGGTGCATTTTATACTACAACTGTATTAGAACCTAAGTCTGCTGGTAGCTGATATTCTTTCATTAAATATACTGCAAAACCTAAAAATATAACAACTAGATAAAAGAATGGATCATAAATTTTCTTTATTCCAAAGAAAAATGAATCTGAGAGCACCGTTCTTACTTTAGTGATTTCCATTCTGTCAAGCAAATCCTCCTTTTATATCCCATGAAAAATCAAGATGAATATTAATTCACACTCTAGAAGTTAAATGTCAATCTTTACTTATCCTCTTGATATTAACATGAACCACACTAGATTTTTTTTTAAAAATGCTAACTTCTGTTTCAGTACAATATACATAATTTATCCAGTTTTTTCTGTCATATTGTATTGAAACAGTTGAGGGAAAGAACAGATTAGAAGTGATATATGATTGAGTATTATGGTTAGCACAGGAATCCAGAATTAAGGTTGCATAGAGAAGTGTACTCGGGATGGGGGGTGGGGGGAAGGGACGTAGGAATTGTATACTAATGAAGGAATTTTTTTTTTCTTTTTTTTTCTGTCTTCGGAGGGGGAAGCGAGCTGGTGGGGAGGGGTGGGAAGGGAGAAAATTGCGGCAATGAATGAATGGAAATCCAAAACCTCTGTAAAAAAAAAAATTAAAAAATTAAAATAAATGATTTAGTGCATAACTGCAAAAAAAATGCTAACTCTAAGTGTTTTAGCAGAAAATATTTAGCTGTGTTTCAGTAACTATCTCACTCATCTCTGCTACTTCAATCAGTAAGTCAGAAACATTTAGCAGATAGGAAGCAAAGTAATCTGGAAACATGAGTAAGGATTTCCATTTTAGGTAAGTTGCTTTATTTACCTTTTAGGGATCTTATAATCTAGTAAGAGTCACAATAACCAAGAGAGAAGTAAAAGGTTCTCTCTTGGTTAGTACAAATACCATGTTGTTGTTGTTGTGTGTAATATAGAGTGAAAACTGACCCAAAGCTGACAGGCAGAATTAACTGCAAAGGCGGAACTTATCCAGCCTTCTGCAGAGCAAGCTGGCAGCCTTGAACTGTTTGCCTTTGGGATTGCAGTGCAGCTTCTTGCCACTAGGTCACCAGAAC